TGATCAGCAGATGACCCATACGCCAACATTCGTATCACAGCTGTGAACTTTTGCTCGGGAAGCAGCCCCAAATCTCCAGCACAATTTTTCTTTTGAACAAAGTAGTCATCATAATTGCAAATATCATGCATGACTTTATTGAACAAATGGGGTTGCATTCTATATCTTGCTAAAAAATGAACATCAGAGTACAGAGATTATGGGATAAAATAATCTTCCAGAATATTCTTACCCCGAGAATGTCTATGTCTATCCACATTCGATGCCCGGCCTTCTCGTGAACCACGACGGCTCTGGTTTTCTTCCTCCATCAAAGCAACGGCCACACCAAGTTGCTCATCTAGTTCTCTCTGCGCCCTTTTGCTTGCAGCTCTTCTGCGCATTCTTGCTCGCCTTTCTCGCTCTTGCCTATCCAAAACATCTTCCATGTCTGACATTGAGAATGGAGAATGAAATCTAAAATCTGAGAAATGAAATCTAAAATATGAGAAATGAAGATGCAGAGAAGATATGGTGTGGGAGGTATGAGCTGAGCCTCTGGTTTTATAGAAAAATTTAGACAGATAGAGATGACACGTGGCGCAATTTTAGAGGATGAAAATCTTATCTGAAATTTGAAATTCAAATGAAATTTGGAATTGGAAATGTATCTGGAATTTGAATTTCGAAATGTATCTGAAATTCAAATTTTGAATTTATCTCAAATTTGAATTTTGAAATGTATCTGAAATTTGAAATTTATCTGAAATTTGAAATCGAAAATCTTATCCGATATGAATAGTATTGACACGTAGGAACCCAAAAATCTTATCCGAAAATATTATCCAAATTAATTGTTTAAATAAACAAAGTTGTGAAAAAAACAAAAAAATGAATAGTAATTGCCATGTCAAGGGGCTAACTGCTGGAAACACACATTTGCTGGGGGAGCTAGGGCAGCCACTATTCACATGAATAGTAACTACCCTAGGGCTCCCCTTGCCATGGCAAGGGGCTAACTGGTTGAAGTACTCTAAGAAGGAAATATGATAAAATCGAAAAAACAACCCATAACCCAACCACAGGGGATGGGAAGAAGAAGTGGGTGGCAGGGATCGACGCCGTGGTGGTGGGGGAAGATTGGCATGGTGGGAGTCGTCTTCGTTGTGAAGATCGACAGGGTTGCTGTTGGAGATTTACACGATGTGTGCAGGGGAGGGCGGAAATTGAGGCGAGGTGGTTACAGCTCTTTACACAGCCAAGGAAATCAACGACAGGGGAAGGGTTGTTGGCTAGAGAGAGAGAGAGAAAAGGAAAGGGGGAGTAGTGGTAGTGGATGGCTGGGTTGGATTGGCAAGGAAAGGGTAGAGAGAATAGTGCGGTGGCTGGCTGTAAGCGAGGATTGGGAGAGAAGGATGGTGGGTCAAAAGAAAAAAAAATATATTCTATTAGTATTAATGTCTAGTCTTATTTTTCTATTTGTAAAAAAAAAATGGATTAATTAAAGAATAATTTAATAAGGGTAAATTGGAAAAACAAAAGTTAGTTTTTTTTAATGCATTAATGATATTGTTTTAAGTGTAAGTAAAGTGTCATATGTCATGAAGAAAATAGAAAATGTCCACACAAAAAAAATTAGAGAGAAGATTGATAGCATTCTCTTCTCAAATTCGGAGACCTTCAACTAATGGGGTTTTATCTGTCAAGACAGCTTATCACTTACTGTTTAGTAGTTTGGATTAGGGGTGGCATTTTAAACCGAAAAACCGCAAAAACTAACCGACAATTTACCGCAATGAAACCGCAATCGCGGTAAACCGAACCGCATTTGTGGTATTAAGAACCGAACCGCATTTGCGGTTGCGGTTGCGGTATTTGATTTTCAAAACTTGCGGTTACTGCAAACCGCAAAGTATAGCCACACGGATGATGAGGTTGAATTCTACAAGGAAATGAAACATATGACAACTTGTAAGTAATTAGTTTATTTATGCTAATGTTATTTATGCTTCTTCTTATTATAAAATGTACTAAACTATGTTGTTTTTTTTGTAGATAACATTGGTGATCAAACAATACAACAGGGTTCTTCAAATTCACTCACCACCAACACTTGATTTTGTAACATTGGTGCATTGCATTTTTCTTTTAGTTTGTAACTTTAATTAACTTTGAATTGAATTTTTCTTTTTGGTTGTAACTTTAATTCATTTTGCTTTGCATTTTCTTTTTGGTTTGTAACTTTAAAGGATTTGGAATTGGAATGCTTGAGAAGTTTAACTTTAATTGGAATGCTTGGAATTGTAACTTTAATTTTCTTAGGTTGTGAATGCTTGAGAAGTTGAGGAGATTGTGAATTTATATTTGCTTGAGAAATTGAGATTGTGTATTTATTTATTTAGGTTGTGAATTTATATTTTTGTGAATGCTTGAAACTTGCGGTTTTAAACCGCTAATTCGCTGTAACCGACAGCACTCCGTGGTTTACCGCAATGCGGTAAACCGCAAAACGCGGTCGGTTTGCGGTTTCAAAAATCACCAAACCGCAAATAGTCGGTCGGTTTGCGGTTTGAATAAAAATTCGCGGTTACCGAACCGCAACCACCCCTAGTTTGGATTGACATGATCCCCCTTGGTCCTACCTGTGCCATTTGAAAGGATTTTTCCTTGGGTCTAAGATTTTTATTTTATTTTATTTTTTATTTTTTGGTGTGTGTGTGAGCATGCAAGGCATGCTTGTGGATAAGGAGAACAGCTGCAGCGGAATCCATTTTAATCACAAGGTTCCTAATACCTTTGTCAATCGCAAGTTGCAACCCAAAAAAAAGCCCCAAAACTTCAGCTTCCAAAATCTGTCCTCTCCCTAGATTCACAACAAACCCACTCACCCAATCTAGTTGTTGTGAGATGATAAATCAGATTGGTAACTGCTCAGTCCTCCATGTTTATAGGGAGAAGAATGGCATGGCTGATTGTTTAGCTAACTTGAGCTATAACTTCAATCCGGGCCCATGTGTGTATGATTATGCTCGTGTATGTATTGTTTCAAAACTTTTATATGATTTGTTGGTTGTTCCTAAGAGCACCTCTACTCCAAAGGGCAAGGGCAAGGTAGGGTTTGTCACTATTCACATAAAGAATGGCAGCCTTGTCTTTTTTGTTTCCACCCCAAAGGATAAGAGCAAGAGAAATTACTATTCACTTTAATTGATTTTCTATTTTTTATACTTAAACCATTAATTTTGATAAGATTTTTGGATAAAATTTTCGGTTGTCACGTGTCACTATTTATTATAAAATTCTGATCTCAAATTTCAGATAAAATTTTCGGATAAGATTTTCAGTTTCCACGTGTCAGGTGTCGTAACCAGAGTCGTCGAAAGAGGGGATCATGGAAACTTTTTTCAAAACACGACGTCTGTTCCGCGTCATAGAATGGGGTTTCAATGACACGGATTGTGTGTCGTCCTACTCTTTCCATGACGCGTCCTCCATGTCATGGATTAAGTTTTGATGGCGCTAATTGAGCGTCATTAAGAATATGACGTTCTATTTGACGCCTTCTTTTAGGACTTTACATGACGCGAACTAGACGTCATGGAACTTAACGACGCTGATGAGAAGTCATTGAAATACTTTTCACGACACATTTCAGACGTCATTGAAATTCTTTATTTTTTTTAAAAAATAATTCTAATATGTATATATATCCCATCATTATAATTATTAAAAAAATAAATTAATATATAGAAGCAAAAATGAAGACACAAAGGCAAAGTACTCTAAATTATATTTCTATTACTCAAAATGATGCTAGTACATTTATATTGTCTTGAACTAACCCTACAAAGTCAATCCTATGAAGTTTGAGAAGATTTGATACTTTGACTGTCCAAAACAAAGTATGCTCCATGATCGTACGAGAGGATGTGATGCTTCATGTCCAAAAGAGGGTGTAAATGGTACTAAAACAATTACAACCACACCTGCATTAAAACAGAAGATTAGAAAATGAGAATGAAGGTCTAGAAATTACAAGCAAGCATGAATGAAAATGATACAGGTCTGTAAATTCTTGGTCCAAATCGGAAATTTCATTTGATAGAAATGTCTTGCTAAACCAAATGCCAAATAAAACAAGAGGAATAATAGAATCCAACAAAACAAATTTTAAGGACCAAAAATTCCTGAATGAAGTTAACTTACCAAAAAACCAGAAAAAAAGAAAGATAAGAAATAGGTGTAAGTACGGGGAGGGATGGTAAGAGAAAACCAACACAATCTCCCATCATTTTAATTCTGCCATCTCAAGTGTACATCTGTCATTTAACCAAAAAAAAAAGTAATAAAAACCATTTTCAGTTTTCTAATTAGTAATAAGATGGTAAGAGAAAACCAACACAATCAAAACAGCAAAGAATCGGCAAAAGAAGTTCAATAGAAAATATTATTAGTATATTGAAGTAAAATTCACAAGAGAAATAGTAGTGGAAGTGATGTGGACACACATTGTTATTATTCTTCAGGAGCAAATGTTGAATGACTTATTGCTTGAAGATAAATGAAGTTAAACTTTCATTTGTATTTATCTATAGAGAATTCCTTTTCTCCTTTTATCAATAGAAATACAAGATATAGCCATCGATAAAATAGAAAAAAATAAAAAAAGAAGAAGATATAACCCATAGTAATCTGAACTGAAATGAAATTTGTTCAAACACATATATCAATAGGAGAAAGAAACTAATATCATATATGGCATTATATCCAAAACCCAAAAACCAGTATAAACAAGCTTTAGTTTTGTTCAATTCTTTTGGGCTGGAACCTATCACCTCTCGAAATTCACTAAACATTCAGTTTTTTTTTTTTTTTTTTTTTTTTTTTTTTTTTTTGTTGAGAAAAGACGATCAATTGCATAGAAGGTTAATTGGGGTTACAATCTTAACAGAGGAGATCTTGAGCTCTGTGGCCATGCCCCTAACATTTGTAGTGGTGTTGCTAACTAAACAATCAATTTAATTCAAAAGAATGTAAAACTTTCCAGATCATAACTAGACATATAGAACCTCATCATATCGAAAATTCATTCAATTCGAAGTTAAGGAATCATGTCAAAAACTGAATTCAAAACAGACTAAGTTACAGACTTTTCTGTTATTCTGTTTTTCTGCAGCATAACACTAACTTGGAAAAGTTACCATAAATTCAATTTAACTCTAATTTACATGAAACAAGTTTTCAAATGTTCATTGAGATGTCTTTTTTCATATAACAAAGGTAAGTGTTTCAAAATTGAAACTGCAGCCCCTGTTTTTGACAGATTTTGTAGTCATACTTTAATTACCAAACTTTAGGTATCAAATTTCAGCCAAATTACATGATATCAGAGGCTTTTAATCCTGGATATGTACAGTTTAAAACCAAGTACTTATATCTCAAAACTAACCCACAATCTGTGCAAAACTAACAGTCAATGTCGGTAAAACAACACTTTCTGAAAATCTGAAACTGAACAACTTCTGCACCTATTTGTTTTTTTACCAAAACAAAACCCCAAAACACTTGTGAACAATCTTAAAAACAAGTATATAATTTCAGTTCTGACTGCTACTCAATTACCAACAAGAATCGAAGTTTGAAAAACCAAAACCCGAGACTGAAAGTTGATCAATACACCCAAACTTAATAAATCCAATTCATACTCTTCTTTCATTTAGTTTCGTGGGTTCTGTGGAGCAATCAATCAACTACACAATTTAAATAATCAACCCAACAGAAACAACAACATCCAAAAAACAAGAAATTAAAATCTAACAAAACAAACTTACAGATGGGTTCAAGAAGAAATTCAAAATTCCTTAGCTCTCTTAACGAATCTGCCCAAGCTGACAATGGCTTTATGAAGCTCTCTCAAATGTCCCTAGAAGTAATTAAAGGCTCAAAAAGACACCTCTTCACCAGCTCAAATGTCCCGAAAATTCATTACAAAAATGATAATATAAAAAAGAATTAGGGACAAACTAATATATAAATGAGAAAAATACAAAGAAGAGAAGAAGAAAAAATTCGTACCTTGTGCATTGAATTACCACAACTTCAATTAGAATCACCACCTTCATTACTCAATATCACACATCCCCTGCAAAACAAGCCACCATTGGAGATAAACGAGAAGAAAAGATGAGGAGAAGATCAGGAGGGTTGGAGAATGAGTGAAGAGTGAACAGAAAAAGAAAAGAAAGGGAAGGGAGAGATGAGAGAGAACGAAGAGAAGATTTGGAGGTGGGGACACAGAGAGAGAGATCCTTAGGTCTGAGAATGAAGAGAAGATTTTAGAAAGAAAGCGAGAGAGAGCGCCTTACGGAAGGGAATAGCTGGCAAACTAAAATTTCACCCAAAAAAAGAGCGCCACGTGAAAAAAAAAAGGAAAATTGGCGGCTTTACCCTTGGCTTCAATGTTTTATTCAACAATGTCCTCTTTTTGAAACTCATTCAAAAATATCCTCTATAAAACCTCCCTATTGGCCCAGTATCATTTTTATCACTTGTTTTGGTAATATGAAATTGGTCTCTGCTACTACTCTCTCTCTCTAAACTTTGCTTTCTTCTTCTTCTTCTATACTCTGCTATCTCTGAGATGACATCCCCAATTGCTTTCCTCTTTGCTTCTTCTTCTTCTATGCTTTGCTATCTCTAAGATGACATCCCCAATTGCTTTCTTCTTTGCTTCTTCTTCTTCTCTTCTCTGATATGCTCTATCTGAGATGAATTCCCAATTTTGCATATTCTCTCTCTCTCTCTCTCTCTCTCTCTCTCATATTGATTCTCAACCCTAATTCCTAATTATCCATGTTCTTCTTTTCCTAGGTCCAAAGACCCATCTTCTTTATTCACATCATTAGCCACCACAAGCACCACCAACGAGTTTGCAAACCCAATTTGTAATATTTGTTCTTAAAATAGGTGGATTGACATTGACTTTAAATTTTTGTTTGAAACAGAAGCATTTATTTGTCTAAAACCCAACAGAAACTTTCCAAGACAGACTTGAAAAAAAAAGTGATACGACAACGATAAAATAGCAATACAGGGGCAATATGATGACAATAGTAAGACAATAAAAAAGAACTTAGAAATTTCAGATTTATTGAGTGTATATTGCTTGTTTATTGCAATAAACATGCTCAGCAAGATAACTCTAATACAAGCTCTCTCCCTTAGTGTATATTGCTTGTTTATTGCATGTGTATTGCTTGTTTATTGCGCATATATTGCATGTTTATTGCCTATGTATTGCCTGTTTATTACGTGTACATCACATGTTTATTGCAGACCTTACCAAAGAACCCAAAAAGAATCAGCTGTGAGTTGGAAGAGATAACTAATAGGAGAGGAGCTGGGAGTCAGATCTCATCGAAAAACCCAAAATTTGTTGCACAATCCCAAGACAAACTGAGAAAAAATTGGTGCATAATCCCAAAATTTTATAAATAAGCTTCAAACATAATATCTCAAAAAGTTCTTGTATAATCCCACTAAAATAACATTCTCTACACAAGTTGAAAATATTACTTGTAAACCCAGAGGGTAAAATTTTAAATTAAACCCACAGTTATGTTTCAACAAATTTCTGTACAATCTCACAAATTTGACTTGGAGGGACTTGAACTCACAACAAGCACCAAATTTCCAAACCCATATATGAAATTGAAATAAGGAGAAGAAAACCCAAATGTGAAGGAGAAAAGCCAATCTGGCTACTTGAGACTCCATCTCCAGGCATGGAGGTCGAAGGAGGTGACAGAGAGTGAGAGATAGAGGAGGAAAGGGTGGGGTCGTCGTCGCCGATGTGGGTGCGAGTGAAAGAGAGAAGAGAGGAGAGGAGGGCTGAGAGAGTGAGACCGAGAAATTGTGAAAGACGATTTAGGAGAGCTCAGAACGACTAAACAAAAGTGAAAGAGGGGTAGAAGGAAGAAGAGGAAGAGGAAGAGACTAGAGAGATGAGAGGATTTCATAGAGCAATGATTCAGAAGAAAAAAAACTAAGTGAAGGATGGGCAATAGGCTGTCAATAGGGAGTTTTTATAAGGGGCATTTGTGATTGAGTTTCAAAATAAGGATATTAGTGAATTAATTAGGTGAGCCAGGGGTAAAGCTGCCAATTTCCCAAAAAAAATTGGGGCCTCAAAACCAAATTTCATGACGCAGAATCTACGTCGTAAAATAACATTCTATGATGCGTATACTGCATCCTCAAAACCAATTCCATCACGCATATACTGCGTCGTCAAATCGTTAAAGCTTTTATGGCGCTCAAGACGCGTAATCTTAAGGTTATTAGAAATATTTCATAATTTGTGAAAAAATAGTGGACAAAATTAAAGAGGTAAAAAACAGTTGTGGGGAACGAAAAAAAAAGGTGGGAAATTTTCATAGATCTAAGACGCATAGGAAACGTCATCGAGAAACACTTCCGTGACGCAGCTAGCTTGCCATGGATACTTGATTCCATGATGCAGCCCTAACGTCATAGACATTTATGACTTGCAATATGCGTCATCGATTTAAGAAACATTTCATGACGCAGATCCAACGTCATGTAAAGTCAAAAAAATCTATGACGCGTTTTACGCATCATTAAATGCATATTCAATGGCGTGGATATATGGATGTCATTGAAAGGATATCACAAATCAACTTCAATGACGCATTTTAAAAGCACGTCATAGATAATTACATTTAATGACGTGTATTCCTGACACGTCATTAAAACCATGTCATCAAAAAGCCTTTTTGTTGTAGTGAAGGACGAATCAATCATTCGCGAAGGCAGTTCCACCGGATCACGACATGGGGGAATATTTTCCTTCAGATGACGTAATAATGCCATTATTTTCTACACGAAACGCACCACTGCAACCGACTGCTGGTATTGTTCACTTGAGGAGCCATGTGTAATGGTTTTCCTCTTTTTTGTTTTGCCTTGAATAATCTATTAAAAAAATGAAATTGGAAATGCAAGAAATATATTTTAAAAAAATGACAATAAATTGAATAAAAAGGCAATTAATATTTTTTTTTACCTCGTCGCCAAGATTTTGACTACTTCGAACGTTTATCCATAACTCTCCGGCTTCGATGGAAGAGGTCATTTGTATTTTTACATAAATGAAATTTTTTAATAGAAAATTTAGTGTGGAAAGTGAAAAATATTGGAAGGAGATGAATTGGTATGAAGATTTGGTGTGGAAAGTGAATAATATTGGTAGGTAATTAGTTTATAAGGATCCAGTCCGTACGATTTTCATGGAAAGAAATAAAGGATTGAAGGAAAATGACATATTTGAAGCCTTTACTCTATTGTTGAATTAGGATATATAGGTAAATGAGGATCATAGCAAATGTAATTTTTTTTTTATCGTATACCATTAGCAATATAAATTAATCTAATTTACGGAGAGAGATTCAAACTTGAAGGCAATAGATTTGATGCATTGTTTCAAAATAAAGGGATCTCATCAGACCCACGTGGCTTTGTTTTTTATTTATTTTTATTTTTTGTTGGGTTTTGGTTTTATCAATGCACATTATTTTGGATTTTTCCAAATAGATGCATTTGGATGAATCTCATGGGCATTAGCATCTCTGATAAAATGAAGTGAAGTCTGGAACTTGGACCCACTATTTGACTACTATATGTCTCAACTTAATCATCCATGTTATTTCCAATTTACCATAATGCCCCCCCTAGTCAACAACCCTCCGGCTTCGATGGAAGAGGCCATTTGTATTTTTGCACAAATGAAATTTTATAGTAGAAAATTTGGTGTGGAAAGTCAAAAATAATGGAAAGAGATGAATTTGTATGAAGATTTGGTGTGAAAAATGAATAATATTGGTAGGTATTTATAGAAAAATATTCCAGAATTTTTTAATATTTTTTTCAATTTTTTTAATCCAAAATTTGGATAGCTGTTGGATTGGATAAGATTTTTGGATCGGAGGCTCCAAGAGAAGCCACGTGGCTTGTAGCCATTGGTTTTTTTGGGCTGGTGGGTCAACGCTGACGTCAGTAGCCTTCGGGCTACAGCCCAGTCGATTCTTACCCGTGGGCTTGCCCGAGTTGGACATTGTGCTCTCGAGGGGGGTTTGGGGCTTGGGGCTACCTTTTGCTTGTAAATAAATTGCTGGTATGGACGATAATCCCGCACCATACTTTAAATAATAAAGTAAATGTGCGGTATGGGCACTAATTCTACTTCATACTTTTAAATTAAAAGTAAAGGCAGTTGTGTGGACGATAAACTCGTGCCACACTTTTAAAGAAATATTGCTGTATGGGTAATAAACCTACACCATACAGTAAATGCGGGGATAAAACCAGCACATATTATAATTGTGGGTAATATAACTGTGCCACTATTCAAGATATAACAAGATGGGTTTTAAGATCACACCATCATTTTTATTACGATAATAAGTGTTACAACGTGATGGGTAATGAAATTACACCACCATAAAATAATATGATGGGGTATAAAACCGCACCATTCCAAATTACAATACGAAAAAATAAATTAAACAAACATGGATAAAACAACATAAAAATTGTGAAAATACAAAAAATAGTCGTCGTAGTAGTAAAGTGAGATGAGACATATGACAGAGAGGAGACAAAGAAATAACCACATAGTCTTGAGCTAGGAAAATTTAGAAGTAAAGAGGAGAGACTATCATGCTGATAACGTGTTATAAAAATAAAATAATCAGAGTATGAAAAGTATGAAAAGTACCACTAAATATTGGGAGTAGAATTATATTTGCTCTTCTGGTGTTTACACTGACAAAATTCTCTCAGATAGAACTCAATAACACTCAGATTTCACACTCTCTCTTCTTTCCTCTTACTCTTCCTTTCTTTCCTCTCTTCTCCGTTGGTATTTTGCTAAGCAATGGGAAGTCTATTTATAGGCAAATTGGATGGCTTCCAACATCATCATTAAGCTTTTTGAATATTATATCATTTTTTTCTTTATGTGGGCTCCATCACTTTCTTTACAACAAAATTCAATATGTTTTCCTTTCTCACTTTCTTAATTGTGTTCATTCCCCCTTCTTTGTTGTTTAATATGGCTCCAAAACCACACAAAAAAGTGTCAATTGGAAACCACAAGAAGATGAGGCATTATGTGGGGGTGGACATTTATCTTTGAAGATGGGCCGGTTGGCATCAATCAACCAAATGACACCTTTTGGGTTCGTGTGTAACA